ATGTATTATAAACCTTTGCCGTTAGTTTAATTATTCCCAGTGACGAGATCAGCAAGCCGCCTTACCAACGAATCATCACGCGAGGCGTGGCTGTGCGTGGAACTGCGCGAGGGGCTGCGAGGCGCTCCAGATGCGCGCCGTGCGGGTGCTCCGCCCCCTGCACTGGTGCCGACAGGAGCTTCGCAGTTAGATGGCACTTTGACAGCACATCGCTTGTGATAGTTCAAGCCGCACCCTGCAATTGTTAATGGTAGGTCCTATAGTCCTGAACTATAGTATGACTGCAAAAGTGTGCCGTAAGGCGATCTGTTTTTAATTTTTTTTAATGAATACGTAAGAAATGGCCATAATATTTTTTTTCATTTATTAGCAACAGTATAGTATCCTTACAGGATAAATGTTACGTTAGTTGATAGACATATTTATTCAAACAGTACCATTTTTTGTTATTTATAGATAGAATCATGTTACCTTCACACTTGAGCCCCTGCCGGACGAGACCGAAGAGCATTTCACCGCAGAAATCACAGAATGTGGGCGCCTTGTAGGAATGCACGGCGAGCGCGTGCGGCCGTGGTATAGGCGCGCTCTCCGCGCCCTCGCCATCACATAACAACGCTGCTGGTAAATAACTTATTGTGAATAATATATCAAAAAGGTTTTATTGAAAAAAAAAATGGGTTGGCTATCACAGTCAGAGGAAGAACACAACTGTGAACAAAAAATGACACCAAACTCGTCAAAATTCAGTCGTTAAGACTTAAGATTAAGACTAAGATTATTGGTTGAAGTAACGTGAATAAAATTATTTGAATTAAGACATATAGTTTGTTTTTTATAATATGTAAGAAATCTTTTATCCAAATCAAGTTTCGAAAAACATTTATCTTACTTATATAAATACGATAGTTTAGATGGATGGATGGATGTTTGTTCGAAGGTATCTCCGGAAAGGCTTACCGGATTTTGATGAAATTCGGCACACATGTGAACATAATGAACACATAAGCAACTTGTTAATTTTTTTATTCCGCGCGAACGGAGTCGCGGGCGACTGCTAGTAGATTTAAAAGGGCTATCACAAAAAACTTAATAACAGAACAAAGAAGTTTAATATCTTACGGTTAGCCGTGAGTACTATTTCCACGAGGGTCTCGTCAGTGATGTCTGATGCGGAGTTGACGAGCTGCAGCACGTTGGGAGAGCAGTAGTCATGTCGGAAGAGCAGGATACGATCTGGCAGACGGTTCAACCCATTGTCCGGGATCTAGAAGAGATAAACGATACGATCACTATTTGCTTATTTGGACTACGAGTTGTTTGTAGAATTGACTCTTAGAATCCTTTTTCAATTATCATCAGAGATGACGATTACACTTTGGTCTCAGAAACCAACGTTAGTCAATTTTCATGATATTATTTTATACCGTGGTAGCCGAAGATGCTTAGTTGGTAATCAATCAGTCAGAAGAGACGGCAAATTAGTGGAAGTCTTTCTAAACTAGATCTAAAATGTCTGGAGCAGTGAGAGTACTGGTCACGTGGAGAGGTGCGATGTGATAGATGGTAATCGTCATTCATACCTTTTCGTGCACAAACTTGACGGCGAGGTCCTTAAGATGGGCGAGGGTGAGGGCGTGCGCGGGCGCGGAGGCCACGTCGCGCAGCACGCCCAGCTGGAACATGAACGTCACCTCGTCCTCCATCTCCAGCTGCCAGCCGCGTGCCCTCGCCGCACGCCTGTACAAACAACATTTACAAAGATTAGATACCTCAGAGTGGTTTAATGGTCAGTTATGAATCCTTTAGTGTAGATTTCCCTTCCTAACTGCTGCACTTAACATTGTCTCCTTAAATGTAGATTTGGTTTGATTCAACTAAGAAACAGTTTTTACACAAAATTTTATCAAAGAAAGCCTTTACATGATAGACTAATGTCAAAGTGCATCTGAATTTGGTTAGGTACTTTTTAATCTAGAAATATAAATAGCAATAAAGTGATAATTTATATCAAAGAAAACATGACCTTATTTTTGTCAATAATTTACAGGTTAAATATTTACGCCGAATTTTAAGATAATATCGTACCTATTTACTTTCTTCTTTCATAATTTATGTAACGGGGAGTTTATCTTATATATAAAATTCTTATGTCACAATGTTATTTAATATACTCCTCAGAATCGGCTTGACCGATTTTGATTAAATTTTATATGCATATTCAGTAGGTGTAAGCATCGGCTATTATCTATAATTTAATCTCGCGCGGAGTCGTGGGCGACAGCTACATGTTAACACGTACAGTGCCTCGGATTCGCAAGTTCATTTGATTACGAGAAAATCGTAGCACGTAACGTGTTAAGTACTGTTACATTTTATATGGGATTCTAAAAAGATGTACATTTATCAATACAGGCTGAGGCTTAGCATAATTAAATAAGCACATGTCAGTCACCCTTTAAGCCTTTCTACGTAATTTTACATTGTTTTGTTACACAAATGAGCACTCAGGATATTACAACAAAACTAGCTGTTCCCCTCTACTCCGTCCATGCGGAAAAAACTTAATACAAAGTAGCTTATTTGTACTTCCAGAATATTTTATACATCTATGCCAAATTAAAGAGAGATTCGTTTAGCCGTTCTGGAGATACCTTATCACAAACCATCCATCCATCCATCTAGAGAGTTGCATTTATTTTAGTAAGAAGTAAGATTATACAACATAAAGAATATCGTACCAATACCAATATTTATTAATGAAATTGTTTAATTAAACGGAAATGTTCTTTAGTACATTGTCCGTGTTAATTAAAGAAAAGTACGAAGAAAGACGTCATGGGAACGGCTAACAGCATATATTTGTCATCGATTGAGAACGCCGCCCATTTAAAATTTACCTATGCAAAATTGTAGACTCTGTATTACAATCTGGACTTATATATTCAATGATGAATCTTTCCAAAATGCCAAAAAAACGTGTCATATAGCGAATGAATTCATTTAATACGGTATGAATAGATTCGATGTATATTGTTAAACAAATTTGTTTTAAGCAAATAAGATTGTAGTACCGCGGAACAATATTGTACACGCGCAAATTTACAAGGGCATCTGATTATAAGGTACTTATCAAAAAATACTTTGCACGTGGAACAGCTTTATAAAGGATATCATTAGGTTAATTACTTGTTTTCACTCGATGCATTAATCTTTATTGCATTCGAACGATATGATTTGTAAAGAAAAATAACAACAATATGGCTCATCATCAGCTCACTATACGTCCCCTACGGTTTGGAGCCTACCCTAAGTTAAGGGTGATTAGGCCATAGTCAACACTGGCCCAGTGCGGGTTGGTTGACTTCACACATATCTTTGAATTTCTTCTCAGATATGTTGCATCACGATGTTTTCCTTCACCGTAAGAACGTCAGATAAATGTATATATGTAAATCGGAAATCGAAAAACACATTGGTACATGGCGGGATTCGAACCCAGGACCTGCAGATTGCAATTCAAGTGCTTGACCCCTGAGCCACCGACGCTCTTATGGTTAGGATCATATAATCATGTCATAACCCCACACGAGTAAAATATAAAAATCAGAACACAGCATAAACAAATGCCGAATCGAATCGCAGTTAGTTTTTTTTATTTAATTATCTTTACAATTATTGTATCGGTTGTTAAATAAGACGACCTTTAAAATATCAATAACATTCACAAAACAAGGATAACTTTCTTCCAAACAAAAACAGACTTGGGTTATCGAAACAACTGCTTAAATTATATTTTTTCTGTAAAATAAACATATTATTTGGTCTCTTTTACGGCTATTTATTAACACTGGCAGGTAATATATTGTCGCTTTATAAATGAACTTAACTATTACAAAAGTAACAAATAATTTTAGAGAAATTTTATCTTGTCACGCCTGCACATGATTTATGACAAAAACAATAGTTTCGTCATACCTACGACATCGTGTAGCACAAACAAACAGTCGTAGGGGTCAAGGGGGCGCTACGCGCGCGTGTAGACCATCCCACCATATTATCTAGTTTCTGGCCCTCGTAAACATCAGCTCATACTGATCCTATGACATAATACGATTTAACGCTTATCTATATTATGATCTTACATAGAAAAAAATTGTATATTTCTCCATTATGTGATCTTAAACCACTGGATAGATTGTTATGGAATATCGTAAAATGTTCTATCACATCCAACCTACATTTATTCGGCTTTTACATCTCGGTCAACATTACCGTTGTATTGGACGAGTGAGGATACACCATTGGTTTATTGTCATCAAAGAACTGTTCAAAATATCCATAAATTCTTGCATAAAACCATGATTAGGATGTGCACAATGCACATAGCGACAGACGAAGCCAAATAAGCGTCACAACATTGTACGCAGAACTCGCGGAGCAACACTACCTGTCAGGGTTGCCACCTTTTCGGGCTGGACTTGTTCTTTGTGTTTATCCCAGGTATCACTGGAATATGAGGTGGATAGGTTGACACGGGACTGCGAAAGGATACTCTTATGGTTTTTATTATAAGATGGAAAACGAGGAAGCGGCTTCCTGAATACCGAAATAACGAAGCGACCGCTGCCCATGGACATCTGCAATTGCAGATGCGGTTCCTACCTTTAAACAACGGAGAAGAGACGTACAGAAATAAGATATTTCCTCTTCCTATATGTCCCTCCTTCAAATCCACTTAATCTCCCATTCTTTTCTTATAAGAAAATCACTCGTCTTTCTTCTAACAGCTAGTGTTTTTGTTTAAGTTTATTGATGGCAACCCTACTCGTAATCCTTTCTACAGGAAGTAACAAAGCACCGCGCGATAATGCTGTAATATATTACGAAGCTTTACAAATACGAAGCTTAGCGTTTTACATTGTATTTGTAGAAATTTCATTTCTTTATTTTTTTTGCTAATAAAGAGTCATTATTTGCGGAAGCCCTAGGAGTTACTTTTTGTGTTTTATGTATGTACAGAAATGTATTGTTATGTCTCTAAAAAAAAAACTTAATTAGTAGCCTGTGTTCTTCCAGAGTATGTTCTACATCTATGTTGAATTTCAACGAGGTCCATTCAACCATTCTCATTCATACCTTAAAACATCTATCCATCCAAACATTCGCATTTCAAATATAAAATAAGATAAGCTTTGAAATTTATAATTTAACCCTTGGATCTAGACATAAACAAGTAGCTACTTAGTGAGCGCGTGGACAAGACGCCACGTGGACAGCCTTTGATAACCCTAACCCTGCATCACTATCGGAAATCACATAGGGTTTCCTAGAGAACATTATATAAATATAACATTGTCTTTATTGTTAAGAGATCTGCCGTTCGTTTCTGAGATCAAAAACTGCGGATAAAACATATCGTCATCCCTTTCATTACCTTTGGCAAGACAAAGATGACGATATGTTTTAAACGGAGATTTTGGTCTCGGAAACATACGCCTAATCAGTAGTCTTTTATCAACAAATTCCTCGATGAAGGAACAAATAGTTAACACTGTTTGTTATTCTGAGTTTCCACAGCCGAAGCATATGTACAAACTCGTATTTTTATTAATTTATTATTTAGGAGAAAAGGATAGAAGTGTTTAGGCTGTAAAAACTTAAAGTAAGCATGCATTTTAAGTGTTGTTTTACAATAGTAGTTGCTAACCCATTGGTGGCTTAATATAAAAGCTTTGGCTTCCCTATATTATTTTCATAAAATTGAAGCTTATCAATTAACGTCATAATGACCTTGGTTTCATCACATTTGGTCCACGTGTCCATCTGTTTACTTTTACGAAACATTGTAATTTTCCTATTGCCGTCACCCAATTGTCATAGATAACAATATACCCTTAACCTTTGGCCCTTGAACACGTGGTGTGGTATCGCTTTTTGATGATGTGATTTTCAAAGGGACATAATATTATTAACAGTTGGTAAAAGTTGAGTTATCATTTCCATGTATTATTCTGCTGGATGCAAAGGAGCCAAATGAAAACCAGAGCAGGGCCTCTTGCCACACTTTTATTATAATTTTTGTTATAAATCTACGCTGTGTATTTTTCCTCTTTCTTCCATAATTGTGTAACTAATACGTTTCAACTTCTTCCTTTAGCAAGTGCATTCAGCAAGAGTTATGAAGAAATAGGTTAAAATGGTAAGGGCATGTTATGAGGGGCGAACAATCGCATGTGGCACGAACTTTAATTATGGATGTGTAGAGGGACACAGGTAGGGGTAGACTCAGGAAGAGATGGATGGATAGAGACAATGGTGACAAGATTAAGAAGGTATGAGTGAAAAGACGAAAGCAGATTAATATGGAGGACGAAACGTGCACAGACCCTATATGAGTTGGAGAAGGATGGGGAGATAAGATATAGTGGATTTACATTTGACCTTGGTACAACTCCTATTTATTTCTCGTAGGTTTCCATCGCTAAATATTCTTTTAAAAACATTTCCTTCTATATCATTATTAATATCTCTCGTTATAAATTACCATAGTAAAAGTGTTAAGACATTATATATTCAAACTGTTGCTAGTATAAACATTATGTCAGATATATGTTTACAATATTTCTCATTCACATAGGTGCTAAAGCAAGATTAAGGATTGAATCACACTAACACCAAATACGATTATTAAGCTAGAAAGTATAAAATGTTCCAAGACAAATGCTTTCACATAAAAG